TTTTTGAACGTATTTTTGTAGCGTACCCCGTTGGAAGGTAAAACTAAATAAAATATATAGATTTTTATCAATTACATCATGGATCACAATCGTTAGGCCGTTCAAAGGTTCTACTTAATACCTATCGTGAGCGCATTAATTCCGGTAAATAATAATTATATGAAAAGGAATCATATTCCTTCAATCAATTTTTCTCCTGCATGAAGAAATAAACTCCTGTATACTCAGTGAAGTGGAAGTTTGTGAAACATTACAAGCACAAAGCATTTACCGATAATTTTTTGCTGCATTTGGTTGAGGTGTAAAGTTTTTGAAGTAAATTACATTAATGTCAGTAGAGATTTTTCTTTCATGATTTATTTCTAATTCTAAGATAACAGAGCTATGCTATGCAAATTCATTGAGATCTACTCTAATTCCCTACAGAATATGTTTTGAAGTATATTCACTCTTTCAAATAAATAATAAACTTTACTAATTTATGACGCTTCAAATTAATAGTTTGATTAATATGCTTTTATGCAATCGATATCAGGAATTCTTTCTTTATATACGCCTAATAGAATATATTAAGGCACTATTTGTGAGCGAGACAGCCTATTTTATGTATCCTAATCAGTAAAAAAATCTTCCGTTTTCTTTGATAACATACCGTTTCATCTGCACTCCAATATATCAACATCAGTCAATCGATATCTACTGAGTGAGGCTTAGACACATACGAATGTCAACCGATCGCATGACGCATCTACAGGTGAAAGGTAATCCTTCCACATGGCACTTCTGCGATCTTGTGATCTGATCCACGATCGCTATTAACAAATCATAAAACTATAGGTTTTGTTTTAATGTTCAGTTAAAACAAATATATTTCTTGTTATTGGCGGTTATTCGTAATGTTTTATATTATTCTAATGAAGTAAGTAACCGTGTAAGTTGTATATTTGTCAGTGTATGAGAGAGGATAATTTTCCGTAATTTTCCGTAAATAAGACGAGCAGAATTTTCCGTAGCATAGGGGATTACATTCAAACTGCAACTGAAAATGTATGCCGCCTGTTAAGTATCTATATTTTTTTTTTGCATTGGGTAATGGGATAGTTATGTATGTCTTCTGAACCACCTAATGGAAAGTTACGATAAAATTGAAAATGGTCAACACCTCTGCAAAACCAATTCATCATCATTATCATCAACATCATCAACTACCTTTAGTTATCCACTGCTGAACATAGACCGCTCTTTAGAAATTAAATTTTCGTCTTCTATACGACGCTGGCGAGGACGTTTCAGCTTGGGGTCGACTCAATCAGGTAAATTTTAACCCAAAAAATACAGAGGTTTGCGCGTTCACTGCAAAACAAGATACCGTTTGTCGTATCACCTCGGTTCGTGAGCACCTCCCTAACTGCCTCAGCCAGTATTGCAATTATAGGCATCGAGATATCGAGCGAAGTCCAGTTTTGCGGTCATTTAGAAGGTAAGGTCAAATTGGCCTCGAAGAAGCTCGGTGTGGTAAACAGATCGAGGCAGTATTTCACTCCAGCCCATCGCCTCCAACTCTATAAGGCGCAAGTGCGACCGCATATGGAATACTGCTCTCATCTTTATGCAGGGGCACCTCAGTACCAGCTTCTCGGGATCGAATCCAAAGAAGAGCGACTCGAATCGTCTATAGAGAAATGACTTGCGACCGGCTCGATCCCTTAGCGTTACGTAGAGATGTAGCTTCGCTCTGCGTTCTCTATCGTTCGGACTAATACCCACCGCAACCTTCCACCATCGTTCCCCACGGCAAAATTTTCATCCCTACCACTTGGATAATTGGGGCTCCATCACGGTGCGCTTTTCAAGACACTTCTTGCCTCGCACTACTAATCTGTGCTGCGGTGCTCTATTATTGGCTTCGGTATTGCCGGACCGATACGACCTTTAAATCTTCAATAAAAGAGCGTTCCTCCTCCTCGAGAAAGTTCCTCGAAGGCTGGCAACGCGTTTGTGACTCCTGAGTTGCAGGCGTTCATGGGCAGCTGTAGTCGCTTTCCATCAGGTGACCCGTCTGCTCGTTTGGCCCCTCTCTTTGGCCCTCAATTCTCTTTCTACGACAAGCTTTATATGTTATGGTTCTGAACAACACTCATATATATACAAACTCATCGCGTGGATACAGACTTAGAGAGACGCGCACTACGAGTCATTCACCGTGCGGCTAAATATCGCTGCGGCTTAACGTGGCACCACAAGAGCTGTAGCCTGTTTCAAATAGGGCAATTTCACAGTCGCGGCGTCATGTACACGTAATGGAAATGAAACCTGGATATTACAAAGCTGTCTCGCGACGTTGTGCTGTAACAGTAGGATCACCTGACCCTTACTGCAAATATCCTCACCTCACCTTGAATTTTATTACAGCGAACATAGTAAATTACGTAGTCAGATATGTGGCAGTTATCGATGCACATAAATATTTGCAAAACCTTAGGGTTTATATGTATCTGGTTTATGCTACATACTACGGTCTCTATTCTTCTTAAGTTTTGCAGACCTAAATAGAAAATCTTAGAAAAAAAACTATGAGCTAAACCATCAGAGTGACTAAAGTTATTTATTAGTTGAGAGAGAGAGAGATTAAGGGAAATACGACATGAAGAAACTGCACACCAATGTCAGTTACGATTAAATGCCGATCGATTCCTACATACACTCAACAGAATATCACCAAGTTCGATAGAAGACTCAGGAAATGGAGCAGAAATTGATATCCTTCTTGGACAATAAATTAAATAGTAACTTATTTCAGACACCTCCTAATTTTTTACTGTCTATTAAATTAAATATAATTATAGACAAATACATGACAACTTTTTGCCGTTAGAAATTCAGTCGCGGGCAACAGCCAGTTTATAATTTAAGTATGGATGTAAATAGAATTGAGAATCTCTTCCATATTAAACTTGATTAAAGATACTGTTATTAGCCGCAGAACGGACAATCGTTTATCGTTATAATTGTCGACAATCGTAGTCTTTTAAAAGAAAAAAATACCTACTCATATTATCCTATACAAAAAATAATCCTTCAAAATAGAATAAAAACCAGGTACGATATGACTCTAATAAATACATTAATAAAAACCAATAATACTATTTCGACAACCGTACCAATTGACAAGGTTCAAATATATAATAATTTTAGCGCTATAGTTGTTATTTTGCCATGATATAGAGCAACTCAAGCACGAAGACAAACTTTACGTAAGAAATTTTCCGCGTGGGCAATCAGGACTGAGGTAACCCATTCCTAAACTTAATAGTAGATGACACAAAACACCACCTATTTGTTATAATAGCGTCGCTAGGGCAAAGAAAGGTCAACCACATCTTGAGATATTCAGAATAGTTAAATTGAACGGTAGAATTTCAGATAAGAAGCTACTGATCCGCTTTTTGATTATCAAACCAGCTAATTGATAACTCATTAGTTAAAATCCTTAGTTATCCCATTTGAGAGACAAAAGTTAAATTTGTAAACAGCGATTCATAAGGAATTAATGAAAAATAAATAAATAAATACTTAGGTAGACCCAGTAGGGATGACCTGGTTTTGACAGCTCATAGCGGCCATGTTTGATGATGGATCTTTGAAGTCTCATGACATTTGTATTCAGTAAGGTTTGCAAATTTGCGTTGTCCTACCGCTACGGTACGCTACGAAAAAAACGGTCGTCATAGTGCTCCTTCTGTGCGCGCTATAAATCGGATAATAACAAAATTTGTAAGTGAATTCACTCTCCACGACACTGCCTGTGCCTGTGAGACCAAGAAATGCCTGTAGTGAAGAGAATATCGCAGCCGTTCAATCCAGTGTTGATGCGAATTCAAATCGATCAGTTCAACGCCGTTCACAAGAGTTGGGGCTCTCGGTTGGATTTGGGCCTACACCCATACAAAATTGTTTTGGCACAAGAATTGAAGCCATCCGACCATTGTATCCGTCGTGAATTTGCCGATTATGCACTGGAAATGATGGAAGCCGATGACGATTTTCATCGTAAAATCATCTTCTCAGATGGGGCCCATTTCTGGCTCAATGGATTTGTTAATAAACAAAATTGTCGCTATTGGAGTGAGTCAAATCCACGTGTGGTGAGTCGTTAATTTCGAGAAATGTACCGATCAGTTGGCCATCAAGATCGTGTGATTTAACACCTTTAGACTATTTTCTTTGGGGTTACGTTTAATCTAAAGTGTACAGCAATAATCCAGCCACAATTTGTGACCTAAAAACCAACATTCGACGAGCCATAGCCGACATACCGGCCGAAATGGTGCACCGCGTCATCGAAAATTGGTGAGCGGGTGACCGTCTGCAAAAAGAGCCGCGGCTGTCATTTGGCCGATATATTATTTAAAACATAAATTGCATAAAATTCTATATCAAATAAATCAATCGAATGCATTTTTCATAAAAAATTGTGTGTTTTATTCCATTTTTAAACCAGGACGTTCTTATTGGTAGACCCCATATATAGTTTAATAAGCTTAACTGTGTATCTGTGTCTGTGTAAATGTGTGTCAATTTTTTTTTAGACAATTCCTTAAAAATGTTTGGATATCATCTTCTCTTACAGTATTTAGTTTTAGAAACTGCTTGTTTTGCGTCTGAGAATATTAAAACTTAGTATACTTAGACTTATTTAATTATTTCTCATATTTATTTAAGATAAATCAGATATGTAAATAGGATACTGAAGTTTGTCGTTTACGTTCATACATAAACGGCACCTTAATAAATATTCTTGTTGGCCCTCTTCTGCTGAACTTCTTCAAACATACATCATAACTAAACTAAGAATAGAACAAAAAATACTATAATATAATTATGTACATAATAATAAACATATTTTTCTATTTCTGATAAATTCAGTTCGTCGAATTTCTTGACTTGGTAAAGAAATAAAAAGTAAACCGAAAACAAGGAAAAGTAATTTATTTCAAAAATTAATACAATAATTTGACTGACCTGGGCTCAACTGCTGATACGGGTTGACGAAGATACTGTTCTTCCTTTTGATTAGAGGGTGATGTTTGAACTTGAACCGATGTTAATGCTAATGCCTTGTATCGAGATTGCTCAGCCGTAGGTAATACGATATCCACAGATCTCGATCTCAGTCCAGTTCCAGGCACAGTAAGACAATTGCCTGTGCCGTTCAACTCTTCAGCTCTAGCACCACCGGAAACTTTAGAAAAACACGAATCTACAGACGCGGCGCGGTCACGTTTTAATTCAGGAACTGCCAAGTAAATATCGTGAACAAGCGAGTCTTTCACTGCGTGTGCTGCTTCTTCTTCAGAAGCACGAACGTTTTCAAGAGAACTACCGGTTGGCTCCACGAAGAAAGCCTCTTGTCGTGAGATGGAACGCCGTCGCTGCGGGAGTATTGGAGGCTCATCAACTGGTGGTTGTAGTTCAAAAGATGGTGCACCGGGAGTTGGAGGTGGAGAATGTACTGGTGGTGGTAAAAATGTCCTTGGTGGTGGAGGAGGCGCTAGTAATACTCGTGGAACTTCCACTTCGCTCTCTTCGTCTTCGTCGTCGTCTTCGGCTGATGAAGACGCGATCGCTCGCTCTGGCGTGACTCTTTCTTCACTGCGCCGAGCGAGCCAAGTCTCCATATGCCGACAATGCACGCATGGTGGTGGTGTTCCTTTGCCTGATCGACGACGGGACCACAAACGCGGGACCTACAATAAGAGAACAAAGGCAATGAAGTTGAAGTTAAGAAGCATCTTATCTGCTCTAGCAGGAAATTTCATGGAATCGATTTTCAAAGCAAGAAACTTAAATGTAATATAGCTTTAAATATATACACATGTGTCAAAATATTGATGACATAACCCTTAAGTTTCTAGTTATTATTATTAGGCTTTAAATTGAGACAGTCATGAAAAAGCTAAAAATACTTATTTTGAAACATTCATATACTGGTTCGAATAGTACACTTATTGCTTCTTTTACTATACTAAAAGTTGAGCGTTGTAAAGACTCTTTAAATTTTAAAATTAATTTCTAGAACAGCGTCTATTTGCAGAAGTAAATTAAATAAGTTACTTGGAGAACATAACAAAATTATATTAGCATAATATTCTGTTTTACTTTGAAGAGTTACGTAGAAGTACATTTCTTTATTATATTATAATCTCATTTGAATGTTAATTTTTAGGGTTGTTGAGGGTCAACGTTTATTTACGATTCTAGACATTGGATTGAGGTACTCCCAGAATAAAATTGAGTAGCAAATTAATTAGTAGTCTAAGACTCTGAGTAATAGGTTCCTATTATACAACTGAGTCATTCAATCCTTTTAATATTAAACGGTGACCAGTGCTCATAGATATTGGAACACCGACGACGTCACTTGTCATTTTTAACCAATTTCTAATTTTCATATGGATATGATGTATATACATATATTTGTTAGATTGACTCTCCTATAATATGGTATTTTGGAGCTGATCTGATGATGTATGAATAGTGGGCAGTGGAAATCATTGGTGCTTATTAGAAATCTCGCCTATATTTTGCTCCTTGAATTTGTTCCTTTAGTTTGCTCCTTTAGTTTGAAAACTTTAACAGTTTTTATTGATAATGATGGTCAGTTGACGAAGGCGAAGCCAAGATTTTGAAACTGTTTTTTACTTTTAAATTTCTTGGTTTTTAACCAAGAAATTTTATATTTTATTAAACTATAGTTATTATAATGAATTTATAAATTTTCAAATAGAATTCAAAATCTTAGGATACAGCCCTACCCTCTGCAAAATGACAGCCATATCGAACACCTATTTTTCGTTTGGATATTTCTAGACAGCCTCACCGAGCAAAGGAAAGACAATATAACACATATATTGACACCAACAATTAAATACGACTTGGTGACCAATTTTACCTATCACCCAGCATCTCATTGCCCTATCCACAGTCGATTACAGCTCTTGGTAAGTTACTTTATAAAAAAAACCCCTAAATTTCATAATATGCCAAATTGTTGGGGCAGTATCTTTTTTCTTACTACCGCTCGATAAATATTATAGACGACCTATGGTGCTTTCCTTCTTGGAGTGAAGATTTTCTCTTAATCTGGTTTATGGACACATAAATTGCTCAATGGATTTTTTCTCATAAATATAATATATATTGGTTTTATCAAATAAATATATATGTAGATATTTGAAAAAATATTTTATTTCAGTTCATTTACTTTCATCGTATTAATATGACAAAGAAACGCTTAAACTTTTTCAATCAATAAACCCAATTTCTTTTGTCCGGATTCACGGTAGGTTTGACATACCAAGGAAGCACTAATATTAAATTTTTGTATGTTAAAGAACATGCGGGAAACTTCGACAATAATAGATAATTAGTTAATAAAATCCTAAGACATGCTCATGGTAATCTATCTTATTGGCGAGTTCCAGTTTAATTTTAGTGAGTTTACAAAATGACAATCACCTCAAGATAAGTGCCAGAATCATCCGATCCGGCAGAGTCAAAGGAACGGCTTCGACCCCCATGCTGTGGAACTGCAAGAAGGACACTTGAGCCAGAACTGCGCGCCGCTTCCAGTTGTATCTCATCAAATGACGCTGACCGGACCTGGTAAAGATAACTGAGGTTTAAAACAATGATTAACGGTCATCACTGTACAAACAACATAACTATAGTAAATATATATGTATGCATACCTAGAGTTCAATTTAGTTCATAATGTAGTAGCAAACATAAAACTATTTTTTAACTGTTTTTTTTTTATTTCTATCACCCACTAAGGGTGATAGAAATAACAAAAACTTGCGTTCAAAATGCTCAAATCCCTAAACATTGTTAAATTGAGTACGCTGGCACAAACTAAAAGCAATTTTGTGTATAACAGCTATTACCTGTTTAGGCACTTCCAAGCTGCTTTGCGTCTTCATATCGGCAGGAGTAGGAGTGCGGGATCGTTTGAATGTAGTTCGCAGGCGCTGCATGGCGGCCGGGGCGGGCTGCGCGCGCGCTCCTCATGTCGCGGGCCCGCCCCGCCGCCGTCGCCCGCACCCCGCGCGCAACCACCACTCACCACCTCTATTTATTACATAAACATACTTGCCATTATTGTAATGTTACTATTCAAGAAATAAAATTATGCGTTTGTGACACTGTGATAAAATATTTTTATAATTAATATAAGAGCCAACACATAACCTGAATCTAATAAATTCATTCATCAATTCATCTGACTATTTTTGTGGGCTATATATTTTCTTATTTGCTAAAATTGATTAAATACTCTTAAACGAATTTATTCTAAACTGTAAAAATAAATAAAACGAACATCACTAATCTAAGTTCTGAAATTATTTAAAATAATTACACTATTAATTGTATTTATTTATTATCCAGTTATAATTGAATTCAGATTATTTTTCTTTCCACTCATGCTGGTTGGATGTTAAGTTCAGTTATTTTGCAAAATATTGCAACAAAAGATGATAAAGATATTAATATTTTTAATTCATTACATATTATTTTAATCAACTAGACTAGTTTTTATGAACGTAATAGGTACTTTCTATTTTCTCTTACTTGTCATGCTGTCGATGACGTCTACGCTTCTGTACCACATTGACGTACGCTATTTTTAATAAAAAAAACAATAAATTTAATATACATATTATACAAAAAACTGCACAATAAGTTCAAAAAAATAATGGCCATATATAGTATGTTTGAGTATAATTTTACTGGACTGTTGATCTAGTGGTATTGGGTTCGATTTCTACCCATGACAAATAATTGTGTAATAAGCACAAATATTTATTCTATGTCTTGGGGTAATTTATCTATTTGCAATTTATTATTATATTTTTAAGCAGTCTGATACCATACTACAGTCATTATCATCATTAACAGCCTTTACTAGTCCACTGCTGGACATAGGCCTCTCCTTAGAAAGGAGGTTTTGACCTACTATACCACGCTGGCCAGACGGGTTGGTGTAGGGTTTGTTTCAAGTTTTCTTTCTCTTTGCAGTGCTGTTTCCTGCGTAGTTTACTCCCTTAATCGGCTCTTACGTCACCCACGGGATGAGTAGGGGTGGTGACACTCTGTGTTCTTAATTCGTCACCACACGGAGCACACATAGTTTACACTGAATAAACAAATATTTCTCAGAAGGTACTTTGTTTTAATACAGGTAAATATGTAGCTACACTTCCAACAAGCTAATTAACTGCAAGTAAACAAACTTGAACGCTAACTGTAGCTACAATATATGTATATATTATATGCATGGATTAATTAGTTGAGAGTTTTTCGTACTTTGGGAGCGGCCTGTAAATTATTAGGTACACCAACAAAATGTAACAAACGTGTAACGCTCAACTTCAGAATTTAAAAACAAATTGCTACGCTATGCCACGTATGAGTCACATATCTGCCTCTGGTTACTCCTGTTTACTCCTTTCAGAATTTGAGTGCGACTGGGTGTTTATAGAAAACTAATAACTGTTGATTAATGGCAATAAAACAAATTTAATACCTTTAAAACAACATCTGGAACTTTCGATATCAAATTACATGACAATCATATCTCATTAGTCAGCACTACAAAATTTTTAGGTTCTTACTTAGATTCACAACTTAACTGGAGACCGGAATGGGCATCATTGGATTCGTGTATCTCTTCCGCGTGTTATGCGTTGAGGAGCCTAAGGGATATCACAGGTATCAAGTAACTTAAAGCGGTCTACTATACGAGTACGTTAATGGAGTCTAAGATCAAATATATGCATAATGTTTTGGGGAAATAGTTACGAGTTTAATGTACACAGAGCGTTTGTTCTGCAGAAACTTGCTATTAGGATATTGGTTCAGATCTCACAACGTGACTCTTGCAGGCACCATTTCAAGAGCTTAGGCATCTTAAAAGTCCCTTGCTAATACATTTCAACTATACTTACCAACTTCGCTAAGTATATACATAAATACGAAACAGGACGTGAAAGAGAAAAAAGAAAATTTACACAGCGAAAAGCTCTAAAAAATAAAATAGCACCTAAAGTAAATATAGTCATGCATTGCAGATATTAATCGGTTGAGTTATTTAATCGATTACTCGTATATCTTAAAGAGATGGTATATAACACACACATGTTGAAATCCCGATTAAAGGAATTACTGATAAAAAATATTCTGCGGCGGATTTGGGCATTGAATGTGGAAAAACTTGCAAATTTTATAAATTGCACTTTAAACGATATTCATATTCGTATATTACATAATAAACTTCAAAGTACCGAACCTCCATTTTAAATGGATTTTAATGACATTAAATTTTTGATTTTGATTGCATGTTCTTGATTTTATTTTTATGTATATGTATTGCATTAGATAAATTATATTCGCTTAGAAACTTAAGTTATCATGTAAGCATTCAAACACAATTTTTATTGTTATGGAATAAATGTCAAAAACAACAAAAAATGCCATAGCCCGACTTTGGGATAATGTAGCATGTTCACAGGTAGTACTTCTAACATCATTGTCCTAGTAACTTACGCTACAATAAATGTTTTATGCTCCTAAAAATCCTAAACACTAACTCACTTCTGTAGTTTTTGTGACAAAAAATTAAATCTTATTTTAGGCTGGATTAAGATAGTAAATATGTAAACAATTTAAAATAATCGAAAAAATCAACCTTGATAAACATAACTCATATGAGTTAATGGCGTCAAAATACATAAAATATAATGAATTCCTAAATGCAATATTTAGACACACTGAATTGGGTTCTGTGAATTTTTAAAATAAATGTAAATAAACAGGATTAATATAAAAAAAAAACTAGACTATGTGAAGATCGCAAATAAAAAGATATCACACAAAGAATCAAAAGATCTAATATACGGCCTGTCTGTAGGATTATCCTAAACTTTGTAAGTACGGTTACAATGAAAAAACTTTTGTGTCAAACAACCTACCTATGAGTGAGGATGGAGTTTTGACAAGGCTGGAGTATTTTACCTTAATATATAGCAATGTTTACCTGAGCTATTTTAAATCAGCATTGAGTAAAGTGAATATTGATAAAAGTAGTTTTTATATTATAAAATATCTTGAAAAGCACCCCACGCCTGGTTACGTAAAATGGATTTTTGTTTTTCAACTTATAGAAAATTACTTTCTACTTTTTAGTTCATTTTTTTAGTTTTTTAAAATTATTTTTGCTTTTTTCTCAATAATGATGATAATTTTCGCTAAGGCTAAAAAATAACAAGTAAGTAAGTCCTTGTGCTTCAGCACGCGCCTTTTTCTTTTTTTTTTGTTGAAGGGGTGGAATATGACGTCCGCATAGCAGACGACATGTGACCTCGGCATTCCTCGCCGTCCCGACCCATATACCATATGGACCTGTCGCGGAGATAAACCTTGATGATTAGGTAATATGGTATTATGGCGATTAGGGAGGGATTGGTAATATACCAGTGCCTTACTTTGGCGATCTCCTCGGCTGTGGCTCGCCGTCTTCTTCGGGTGCTCTGAAACCGGCGACGGGCTCTCGAGCATGTGCGAAGTTTCAGAGCCACCAGTACACAGAACCCCTGCTACCCCTCGGCCTGATAAGTGGCATCGACGCATCACAGACGTCAGTCATGACGCCACAGAGCCAGGCCGCCTGCGCTTCCTGATCGGACGAGACCCAATCTTCCCCTTCCTCTGGCCAATCCGCGACGATGGCTGCGGCGACGAGCATATCTCGGTTCATCCGCTTGAGGGCCCATCGTCGCGGAGGGCAGCTGGTACGACAGTCCGGACCTGCATCTCGGTCGAAAACGACGTTGCGATGGTCCGACAAAGTGACCTTTAATCCTGACACTTGGTCAATGACCGAGGGAGTCGCCCACGTCAGGTCGACCATCGATCGCAAGTGCTGACTGAACCCCGGTTCACAAAGCCGCGGTTCAGTCCCACCACCCACTCAATGAGTGTATCTCCTCTTACGCTGTCCAGGCGATCTCTCCACTGTGTAGAGCGGGCATTGAAATCGCCCAAGACAGGTACTGGACGGGAAAGGTAAGTGCAAATGCAGCTTTTGAGTCCGTCCAAGTACACCTCGAAAACGGTTAGGCCGTAATTCGGAGATATGTAGCAACCCACAATGACCATCGGGCCCCATTCAACTGCCACAAACTCCAGCCCTCGCTGAAGGAGGGTACAGTGGAGGCCATTTTCCACCCCTGCTCAGAATAATCGCGGCAGTACCGTCATCCGACGCGAACCACCGAGGGTGATCTGGGACGGAGTACGGCTCCGCCACCACCACTAAGGCAACCGTCCACTAAGGGAGTGTCTGCATCAGCAGATTTTGCGCTGTGTGGCAGTGATTTAGGTTGCCTGCAAAACTTTCTAGGGAGGCGTGAAGTTTAGGCCTCCATTGCCTCCTCTGCCGAACCGTTATCCGGCTGGGACTGTCTTGGGGCCGGCGAGTTCTGGCTACCGTCAGTGCTCGCCAAGGTTGGGGCGGGGGCGGTCTTTAGCCGCCTTTTTCTTTTCTTCTGCTGGGAGCATTTCTTGCTCCCCAACCGATAGTCCGCAGGGCGGCCAAAGTCCGAGCAGACCGGGCACTTCAGCACTTTTGCGGTACGGGTGCGCGCCACATAGCCTATTACTACTACCTAATTTTAGGTATTAATCCTGAAGATCCTGATCAGGATAATCCGCCAAACTTATCAAATTATTGTATTGTCTTCGGTCCTTAATAAGCATGCGAAGATCAAATTTAAGTGTTTCAATTTAATTCGACGTTCTGAAGTGGGTCAAAATCACGTTCGAAGATTCTGTTACATGTGTGTAACAGAATCTTCGAACGTGATTTAGCTAGTAAAAGCGTGTTAAAAATGGAAGTATACATAATATGTATACTTCCATTTTTAACACGCTTTTACTAGATACTATGTGTGAGGCGAGGCGTTGTATCGGACTCGAA